GCCGCCGCCGCCGCAGCCACAGCCGCCGCCGGAGGGGGGCGCGGCGCGGGCCGGCGGCGCGGCGCGGCCCGTGAGCCTGCGGGAAGTCGTGCGCTACCTCGGGGGCAGCGGCGGCGCCGGCGGTCGCCTGACCCGCGGTCGCGTGCAAGGGCTGCTGGAGGAGGAGGCGGCGGCGCGGGGCCGCCTGGAGCGCACCCGTCTCGGAGCGCTAGCGCTGCCCCGCGGGGACAGGCCCGGACGGGCGCCGCCGGCCGCCAGCGCCCGCCCGTCTCGGAGCAAGGTGAGCGCGCCGGGGAGCGGGGGCGCCGCGCGGTGGGCAGGTGCGGGCGAAGTTCGTGGCGGGGGCGCGAGTCCCGGGAGGAACTGGGTGGCGGGTGGCTGGGGCTTTTCGCGCGTTTCCTGCGGGTTTAGTTCGTGGTGACCTTGGCAAGTGGCTGAATCTCCCGGAGCCTCAGTTTCCTTCGCTGTAAACGCGGCTTAGTAACAGTAGCGACCCCTTGGGGTTGTTGCGCGAGTTTAGTGAGATTCGGTTGTCGAAGGCTTTAGTTAACACAGAGCCTGGCACGGAGTGAATGCGTAAAAGTTAGTCCGTATTGTTCTTAGAGGTGGAATCGGTCCATCCTCCCCTCCGCCCGGATGCCACAGTCAGGGTCCGGGATTAGAACAGCTGCTAACCTCGCATGCTTCTCTCCTCCGCCCCAGATGATGATGATGATGATGATGAAGACGAAGATGATGAAGATGATGTGTCAGAGGGTTCCGAAGTACCCGAGAGTGACCGTCCGGCAGGTGCCCAGCACCACCAGCTTAATGGCGAGCGGGGACCTCAGAGTGCCAAGGAAAGGGTCAAAGACTGGACGTCCTGCGGAACTCACCAGGGCCAGGATGAAGGGCGGGGGCCAGCCCCGGGCAGCGGCACCCGCCAGGTGTTCTCCATGGCAAACATGAACAAGGAGGGGGGAACAGGTAAGGATCTCTGAGTGGGGGAAAGTGCCAGGTGGGAGGAACTCAGCCCCAAGACAAAGCCAAAGACAGGTGTTTTTTTCCTTCCCAGCTTCTGTTGCCACCGGGCCAGACTCCCCATCTCCCGTGCCTTTGCCCCCAGGAAAACCAGCCCTACCTGGGGCCGACGGGACCCCCTTTGGCTGTCCGTAAGTTGGGGTGTTGGAGACGTGCGGGTGCTGCGCAGGTATGTGGCACAGCCAGAGGGACCTCTGTGTTCACTGGTGTCCGTCTGTTTTGATGCAGTACTGGGCGCAAAGAGAAGCCGTCTGATCCCGTGGAGTGGACAGTGATGGATGTTGTGGAATATTTTACTGAGGCAGGCTTCCCCGAGCAGGCGACAGCTTTCCAAGAACAGGTGAGTTCCCAGCCCCGGATTACACACAGACAGACAGACAGAGGGCCTCTGTGGGACGTGCCCTGACCTGGCTCGCTCTCTTTGTCCCTGTCCCACCCAGGAAATTGATGGCAAATCTTTGCTGCTCATGCAGCGCACAGATGTGCTGACCGGCCTGTCCATCCGCCTTGGGCCAGCCCTGAAAATCTACGAGCACCACATCAAGGTGCTGCAGCAAGGCCACTTTGAGGACGACGACCCCGATGGCTTCTTAGGCTGAGCGCCCAGCCTCACCTCTGCCCCAACCCATTCTGGCCCCCATCTCACCCAAGACCCCCCAGAGTCCAGGAGCTGGACATGGACACCCTTGGCCCTCATAACAGATTCCAGGGAGGGGCACCCTGTATGTCCTCATTTTTGCCCTTTCTGTCTCACACACATTTGCCCTTCAGCACGTCGGTGCAGGGAGAGGATTGCTCCTTACACCCCAGGTGGCTGACCCTCCCCACCCAGCCCAGGACATTTTAGGAAAAAAAAAAAAAAAAAACAAAAAAAAAAAAAAAAAAAAAAAAAATGAAATGTGGGGGGCTTCTCATTTCCCCAAGATCCTCTTCCGTTCAGCCAGGTGTTTCCTGTATAAATGTTTGGATCTGCCTGTTTATTTTGGTGGGTGGTCTTTCCTCCTCCTCCCACCACCCATCCCCCTTCCCAGTCTCTGCCCCTGGCCTCCAGCTCCTAGGGGACTACCTGGCTTGGGGTTCCTTGGGTTTTTTCTCTCCTTCCTCTTTTCTTTCTGTTGATTGTTGCTCCAGCTGGCTGTATTGCTTTTTAATATTGCACCGAAGGTTTTTTAAATAAAATTTTAAAAAAAGGAAAAGGAAAAAAAGCCACGGGGTCCATTTTATAAATGGGGCAGGGGAGAAGGCGTTAAAGAGCTTCCTAAGAGAGCCAAAGGTTAGGACAGAATTGTTTGGGGAGGGGAAAAAAAAAGGAAAGGATGAATTATAGCTGCCTCAGTAATTGCTCCAAGGGGGTGGAAATACTTGCTTTTTTTCTTCTGTAATTTCTCCATGTCTAGTACAGAGCTAGGCACACGGCAGGTGCTGAGTTTTTTTGTTTGTTTGTTTGTTGAGATGGAGTTTGGCTCTTGTTGCCTGAGCTGGAGTGCAGTGGTGCGATCGTGGCTCACCTCAACCCTTGTCTCCCGGATTCAAGCGATTCTCCTGCCTCAGCCTCCCGAATAGCTGGGATTACAGGCATGCGCCACCACTGCCAGCTAATTTTGTATTTTTAGTAGAGACGGGTCTCTTTATGTTGGTCAGGCTGGTCTCGAATTCCTGACCTCAGGTGATCCGCCTGCCTTGGTCTCCCAAAGTGCTGGGATTACAGGTGTGAGCCACTGCACCCAGCCCAATTTTTGTGTTTCTTTTAGAGATGGTCTCGTTCTGTCACCCAGGCTGGAGTGCCGTGGTGCTATCATAGCTCATTGCAGCTTCAAACTGCTAGCTCAAGTGATCCCACCTCGGCCTCCTAACTGGGACTACACGTGCACACTGCCACGCCCAGATAAGTTTTAGACATTTTTGTAGAGATGGGGTTCTAACTTTGTTGGCCAGGTTGGTCTCGAACTCCCAGCTGCAAGTGATTCTCCTCCTGCCTGGGATTACAAGAGTTAGCCACCACGCCTGGCCTCAACTATTGTTGAATGGCTAGCAGTTAAGTTCTTGGGTTTACAAGCATTTTCTCAATTGTCCCCCCCAAATCCCACCTTACAGAAGAGACAACTGGCCCCGCACAGAGATGCTGTCTGCTTGGGGTCACACACAGTGGCGTCTGACACTTGTCTCAGTTATTCACTCAGAGTCTTTTTTTTTTTTTTTTTTCACTCAGAGTCTTTATAATTAGTGTGTTTGACATGATGTACATTAAAAAGTATAAACCTGTCAGCCTTTGCCTACTGCAAAGAATCTGCTACAGCTGTCAAGGGCAGGGGCCGTTCTAGGACCATAGTAGGGTTTCCAGGCCTCATGGTCCTCCCCATTAAAACAACAGAAGTGGGCCAGACGTGGTGGCTCACACCTGTCATCCCAGCACTTTGGGAAGCCAAGATGGGCGGATCACAAGGTCAGGAGTTCAGGATCAGTCTGACCAACATGGTGAAACCCTGTCTCTATTAAAAATACAAGTATTAGCCGGGTGCGGTGGTGGGTACCTGTAGTCCCAGCTACCTCGGGAGGCTGAGGCAGGAGAATCGCTTGAACCTGGGAGGCGGAGGTTACAGTGAGCTGAGGTCACACCGTTGCACTCCAGCGTGGGCAACAAAAGTGAAACTCCATCTCAAAAAAAAAAAGGGATTGAGCCATCAGATGGGAAAAGCTTTCCAAGTGAAGATTTTGTTTTGAGACAGGGTCTTCCTGTCACCTAGGCTAGAGTGCCGTGGTGCCATCATAGCTGGTGACAACCTCGAACTCTTGGGCACAAGTGATTCTTCTGCCTCAGACAACAGCCGACTAACATTTTCCTCCGGACGGGGTCTTGCTACATTGCTCAGGCTGGTCTCGAACTCCTGGCCTCAAGCAATCCTCCCACCTCAGCTTGCCAGAGTGTCAGGATTACAGGCGTGAGCCACCGAGCCAGGCCTGAAGATTTTTTATTATTTGTTAGTAGTAGTCCTCAGAGCTACTACATCCAAAGTCCCTACTGAGTTCTAAGGCAGTTTCTCAACTCCATTAGAGAGAGAGAGAAAAAAAGCCTGGGCACTTTGGGAGCCAAGGCGGGAAATCGCTTGAGTCCAGGAGTTTGAGACCAACCTGGGCAACAGAGAGAGGCCCCCATCTCTATAAAATAAAAATTTTAAATTAAAATGATTTTTTAACAACAGCAACAAAACGGGTTCTGGGAGCGAGAGGCTGGGACTCGGGCCCGGGCGAGCTCATTCCATATACCTGTTTCAGGTGGGGGAAGTTGGAGACACGTTAGAGACCCCTCCACTCCAGGGATCCACTTCGAGAGGTTAAGGTCCTGGCTCTAACCACACCCCCAAGACAAGGCCAGAGGTCGCCTCCCTAGGCGGGTCCCTCCTCTCCACCGCCAGGTTCCCGGAGTGCGCGTGGCGCGTGTGTGGGGGGATGGGGGCCCGCAGGCGCGCGGACAGGAGCGGCGCGCCCCTCCCGCGTGTTGAAATTCAAAAGAGGCCAACTCCCCCCGGGCGCGGCGCGGCGCCGGTGGAGAGGTCAAGGCAGGGTCCAGTCGGAGGCTCCTGGGGCGGGGTCGAACCCGCCGCCGACAACGTGAGCAGCAGCAGAAGCTTCAAGAGCTCAGGTTCCCGCCCTACGACCCTACCATGGCTACGGAGCAGTGGTTAGAGGGGTCGCTCTGCCTGGACCCTGGAGAAACACCGCCTCCAGACGCCTTAGAACCTGGGACGCCGCCCTGCGCAGATCCCTCCTGGTCGACGCCCCCTAGCAGGCTTGGGGACCCACCTGAGCCGGACCCCGAAGATGCTGAGGGGCAGCTGCCTGAAGCCCCAGCCTCCACGCCTTCCCCCGAACCTCTGGTCGCCGGGCCCGGGCCAGCACCACCCCGCCTACCCCTGGAAACTTTGTTCAGCCCCATCACCGAACAGCTGCGCTACCTACTCAAGAAGGCGGATGATTTCCAGAGCTACTTGCTCTACAGGTGATGTTGGACGGAGTCCCAGCTCCTCATGGGTAAAGAAACTTGGAGGGGAGGCGACAGGAGGGGAGCCCAGGAGGTCAAGGCTATAGTGAGCTGTCCCGTGATACACGCCAGGGTCGCAAAAATCGCAAAATTAGAAGCGCTAGGAGCCACAGGGAGATAGTGGAAGAAGCTAGCTTATTAAAATCCGTTTCCGAGTGAGCAGGGCTGTAGAATCGCGGGTAGGGGGCAGCTACTGTTACTGTCCTGGCAGTGTGGGCCTGCGGCTGTCAAATCTCTAGGACTTTCTTCCAGTTTTTAAATGCTGGCTTAGATTTTTGAACCCTGTGCCGGCTAAACAAGACCCACCTGACCCACACTTGGCCAGTAGGACATCAGTTTGAGACCCCAAAGGATAATGTGATTCCCAGACCAGCTTTCCCTGTGGCTCTCCAATTTCAGTGTCCATTGGAATATCCTAGGAGGCTGGGTTTTCTTGTTGGTGGTGGTTTTTTACTTTTGTTTTTGAGACAGAGTCTCGCTCTGTTGCCCAGGCTGGAGTGCAGTAGCATGATCTTGGCTCACTGCAACCTCCGTCTCCAGGGTTCAATCAAGCAATTCTCTGCCTCAGCCTCCTGGGTAGCCCGGCTAATTTCTGTATTTTTAGTAGACATGGGGTTTCACCATCTTGGCCAGGCTGGTCTTGAACTCCTGACCTCATGATCCACGGGGCTGGGTTTTGTTTTGGTTTTTGAGACAGTCTCGGTCTGCCACCAAAGCTGGAGTGCAGTGGTGCGATCTCGGCTCACTGCAACTTCCGCCTCCCGGGTTCAAGCGATTCTCATGAGGCTGGTTTTTTAATGAGACAGGGTCTCGCTCTGTCGCCCAAGCTGGAATGCAATAGCGTAGTCATAGCTTACTGCAGCCTCAAGCTCTTGGAGGCAATCCTCCCGCCTCCACCTCCTAAGTAGCTGGGACTATAGGTGACACCATGCTCAGCTAATTTTTTTGTGTGTGTAGAAACGGGGTCTTGCTATGTTGCCCAGGCTGGTCTGGAACTCCTGGCCTCAAGCAATCCTCCAGCCTTAGCCTCCCAAAACTCTCAGATTGCAGGCATGAGCCACTGCACCCAGCCCCTGTAGGAAGCTCTGGGTCCTAAGTAGAGTCATGAGACTCAGGTGTCAGCTCTTTAACAAGTGTTCTAAATAGGTGTGATGCGGGTGAACCAGAAAGATGTTCAGAAAAGACCTAAAACTGGGGGCCTTTTCTAACAGGGGTCTAGCCAAGGGATACAGGTTGGGGGTGAGTAGAATGGGGAAAACCGGGGGGCAGGGAGAGGTCATGAGGGATTCCAGGCAAAGGCCCCCTTCTTACTTCAGCAGAGATCAAGTACAGAAGGAGCAGCTGGCCAAGGCCATGCCCACCTTCTTACAGATGTGTGAACCCTACTTCCTGTACCTGGAGGCAGCCGCGAGAAGCGTACCCCCCATCTATGGAGTCCTGCAGGAGCTGGTCCGAAAGGGGGTGTGTGGGAGTTTCTTAAACCCCACGCCCCTTGCCTCTGGAAGCTCCAAGCCTGGGGGGATGGTGGATGGTGGAGGGGGAGGCCCGCTCCGCTCAGGCCAGCTGATCTCACTGTGCCCCCTCTGGTATGCAGCTGTTAGAGATCTCCCAACAGCTGACCCTGCGCCTAGAACAGCTGGTCCTCATGTACGCTTCCTTTGGGTTTGTGGACCTGGAGGAGACGAACCCCCTTAGGTATAACGGTTGGGGACTCGGATGGGGGTGGTGAAGGGGTCCAAGGCCCAGCCTCACCCCTGCATTCCCTCATGTCCTGCCAGCATCTCCTGTTTCTTTTGCGGGAGGTTCTC